TTTTGTCTCCCAAGTGCTGGCATTAAAGGCATGTGCCACTATGCCCAGTGTGGTAGTTTGAATGTAATTGGCCCCTATAATCTCATAGGGAATGACATTATTAGGAGGTGTGGCTTTGTTGGAGGAAGTGTGTCACTGTAGGGGCGGGTTTTGAGGTTTCCTATGCTCAGGATACCACCCAGTATCTCAGTCGACTTCCTGTTACTTACAAGATGTAGGGCTCTCAGCTACTCCTCCAGCACCATGTCTGCCTGCCATGCCACCATGCTCCCCACCGTGATGATAATGGACTGATCCTCTGAGTCTATAAACTGCCACCTGTAACACGAATCTTCAAGGGTCTTATTAAATAAAAAACTTGGAGCCATAAATTGGGGTTAAAGACTGTGAGATCAGAGGAATAGGAAAAGCCACAGTAACCTCACCTCACCAACTCTGAAGCCTCCAAAGGTCTCTACTTCCTGTATACCCATGCCTATATGCCTTTCTGTTTTGCTATCACATTTGCTCTCTCTGTCCAGCTACATCACTTCCTCTTCTTGCCCAGCTCTGTCACTTCCTGTCTGTCTGTACAGACCTACAGACCTCCATGGTTAACTAGTGTTGGAATTTAAGGTGTGTGCCACCATGCCTGGCTCTGTTCCCAGTGTGGCCTTGAACTCACAGAGATCCAGACAGATCCCTGCCTCTGAAGTGATAGGATTAAAGGTGTATGCTACCATTGCCTGACTTCTATGTCTAATATAATGGCTGGCTTTTTCCTCTGATCCTCAGATAAATTTTATTGGGGGGACACAGATAAAATATCACCACAGCCACCTCGATTAAATGTTTTCCTTTATAGGAGCGGCTGTGGTTATGGTGTCCCTTCATAGCAGTAGAAACCCTGAGACATCCAGCGTGGCTTCATTCTCTCACTCTCAGAACACTCAGGTTTCCCAGAACAAATTAGTGCAAATAAGAGAAATGAGGGAAAATCAGTGCCGAGAACAACCGTAAAACCCAACCAAGTCAAACAACAAAGAAAACATCAAAACGAAAAATAATGTGACTCCACCCAATATGTCTTCCTGGCTCAGTATGGATTCCCCCAGCTCCCCAGGGATGTTCACAGTAACTTATTCTTCAGGTGGGATGGCCAGGGCTATCCTCTGGCATGCAAAGAAGGTAGACAGTGATGTGCTGGGCTGTTGGCCCTGTGTGTTCAGTCTGTCTCCTCAGCTGGATTGAATTCCTAGGCTTTTCCATCCACCTGAGGAGAACCCTCTCCAGCCCACATCTGGAGATGTCCCCTTGTCTCCAGCTCCCTTGTTGACTTCCCTTTTAGAAGCTGCTACTGGGTAAAACAATCTAGACTTGTTTTCTAATGAGAAGACGTATTCATCCCGAGTTTCCCCCTTTTACCCGAGTTCAGACTGTCCCTCCACTGCAGATTAACACCCGCGGGCCTCCCTGCCGTGAGCAGCTCATGGTCGACACTCTCCCATAAAATCTATTCAGTTCTGTGGGTTAGAGTTTATGTCCCCTTCCTCCTCCTGTGTCTCCAGTGCTTCTTGACAAGGAGTATGGTATGGGTTTTAGAGATGTAAAAGTGCCAGGCCTTCTACTGGCTAAGCAGGAGGACGGTATCTAAAATCTTCTCTCAGCGTGTCCTCCATCCTGCTGCAGTCAGGGAGGGAGTGGGGAAGCATCAGGGTACTGTCTCTAGGATCTGCCTGCTGCCTGTCATGATTCAGGTTTCACACCTGAAACCATTTCTTCAAAGTGCTGACTGAGATTTCGGTGGTTTGTGAACTGAAGTTACCGTAGGAGAGGAGGGCTGCACCCACACATTAAATATTCTGGAAGGCCTATTGACAGACGTTCGATGATTTGGAATGTTGGAATGTTGCAGGTCCAGAGTCAAATTCTCTTGGGTCATTTTAGTCCCCCCCTCCCCCAAGTGTGAGGAGGAAATGAAGTTCTGACTAAACATGTACTGCCGACATCATATTGGCCACAGCAAGAACCCCAATGTCACCACCGGGCGGTGGTGGTGCACACCTTTAATCCCAGCCCTTGGGAGGCAGAGCCAGGTGGATCTCTGTGAGTTTGAGGCCAGCCTGGTCTACAGAGCAAGTTCAGGACAGGCTCCAAAGCTACACAGAGAAACTGTCTAAAAAAAAAACAAAACAAAAAAAACCCCAAAACAAAACAAAACCAATGTCTCAGGCCCAGGGAATGGCTAAGCCTTTCCTGGGTGAGGTCCAGAGTGATAGAAAAACTTTCCTTAGGTCTGAGTATGAATGTTGAGAGTGTGTGCTGAAAATGTCTACCATAGCTTTCTCACTGTGGATGTTTATAGCCTGAAGACTGCTGCCCAATAGAAACTGCTCCTACCAAGACTAGCTAACCCTACCTCCTTGTTCTGCATATAAACAAACAAGCTGAACTTCCAGGTACTGAGGCTTCTCATCAGATCCCAGCTTTTCTGTGTGTCCATATATCTGTGTTTGTCCCTTCTCCATCCCCTGGCTGACCTAGTTAGATCAGACCCTGAAGCTGTGCAGAGCACAACGCCTAGATGTTATTTATTGCCTATCTCCACGTGTGAGACTTACCATCGTGTGACTGTGGTAAATCCTACTGGAAGGTACAGACGGCTAGCTTCCACTCCTAAAATCTTAGTGTCTGGGACCTGTAACAGAGGTTTTCATGGCTCACTGTTACCAAGCTACCTGATGCAGCCCTCCAGTGCTTTTGCAAAGTGGCCTGCTGATAGCTTTCTCTGTTCTTTTACTGCAAACCTTTCATGAAACTGTTACTACATTCAGACATGAAGCTTGGGATAACCTAAATCTGTATCTCTGGTCCACAGACACTCACATTTGTTTCTGGAATAAACTGTCTCTCATTCTCACTAAGGTGAGAGCCATGATTTGTTTTTATTTGATTTTGCACTGTCGGTGGAGCTTCTCACAGCTTTCCATTTGTTTTCTGCAGCCTGGCCAGGCAGCAGGGCTCTACTCCATGCTCTAACTGATGTTCTGCTGTTTCCTTTATAAACTCAAGCCCAGTCTGTCTGTCTTTCCCTGGTGTCTGACTGTACCCTGTTCATTGTCTCTCCCCCGCTACCCCCCACTTCCTTTGCAGGAATGTTACCTTGCCCTGGAGCTGCTCATCAGATGCTGTACTGCAGACTCCAGAAACGCAGCAGAGTTTGGGGGAAATGGGTGGCTGGCTCCATTACCTCTTCAGCTCATGGTAATCTTCTTTCAAATGGGTATTTATTTCGCAGTTGAGAATCTGTGTTTCCAACTGGAAAATGATGCCTTTTAAGGAGCATTTCACAGTGTCTGGAGAAGTTTTTTGTTTGTCACAAGTACAGGAAGTGCCCTATCTGAAGCAGAGGACCTGGATGCAAAGGACACCCTCCTCTCCACAAAGCAGTGAGCTACTATCTCTCACACTCAAGGCATCCACAGTGCTAAGGACCCTGGGGGGTGTGGTTCAGTTGGTAGAGTGCTTGCTTGCTTAGCACCACAGGGAGCTGGGTTTCATCCTCAGCACTGGAAACAATGCCATAAACAATTAGGAGGCAGAGGCAGCTGGAGAATCAGATCAAGCTCATTCTTGGCTATACAAACTGGAGGCCAGCCTGGAATGCATGAGAGCCTGTGTCATAAATAAATAGTGAAAAAAAAATACTAAGGTTGGTTGAGATGTTTTAGAAAAATACTAGATAGTACAAACAAAACAAAAACAAAAACAAAAAGTCTTGTCTCCCTCCTGCCTCTTATTCTGAGACAGGATCTTTCTATTAGTCCAACCTGAGAATCTGAGATGACATCTAGAATGCTTAATTGGCAGTTTGAATATTGATTCTTTTAAGCTTTTTGAAAGATGTCTATGGCTGATTCTTATATCCATATCTTTTTGTTCAAACAAAATTTGCCTTTTTCTGAAGATAGTCCTCCAGTTTTCCCTGCGGTGTTTTCTTACTAGAAATGTTTCTTAGATATCAGCTTCCTCCATGCTTTTAAGTAGCAATATATAGACAGGATACATACTTTGGACAGTTTGCATTCTAAGTACTTTTCATGTATTAATTTATACCTTATGAAATATTAGTTTCATTTTAAGGCTAAACTAAGATTATAAAGAGGTAAAAGCTCATGCATGGTCATCGGGCCAGTTTTCTAGCTGGGACATAATCCTAAAGAGGTTCCCATCTCTTCTCAGGTGGTGCTAGCCAAATCAGCCCTCAGAGGTCTATCCTGCACTACCCTCATCAGTTCTGAGAAGTCTATCCTGTACTATCCACATCAGCCCTGAGAGATCTACCCTATACTGCCCACATCAGCTCTTGATTTCTATCCTGTACTACCCACATCAGCCTTGAAAAGTCTGACCTAAGTTTGTGTCTTTCTTTGCTCCTGAAAATAATTATTGCAGTATACACCAGACTGCAGAGAGTTAACCTCTGAATAACCCAGCCAAATCTACTGCTGCCTTGAGAAAGCACCTGGCCATGAGTTAGCCATTTGCTTTATGCCCTTCATGTAAGGGTCAGCTTTTCTGCACACAAAAGTCCTTTTAAAGCTTCATTTAATGTGAAGAAAAAAAATCCACTTTCCAATCTTAAAATGTGTACACAAATGAGGGCAGGACATTGAGATTAAGTTTTACTACTTACTCTAATATAGTCTCTTGTACTTGAATTTACCCAATTATTTGTTCTTTGAGAATTTCAAATAGGACATGTTCTCATCATATCCACCCTCCACATGTCTCCTTCCAATTTCTCCAGAATTTACCCAAACGACTGTCACTGAGTGTCTGGGGACCATAGGATAGGGTGGGAGATACCTTTTAAAATGTATATAAGCTCCAGGAAGTCCTCACCAACCCCACAGCGATAGACCTAACTTGTGTATAGTAACCTCTTCATACATAATTACATTGCAAAACAGATTTATTTTCATCCATGAGAACCAGGAAGATAAAAAGGAAAGCATTCTTCAGGCAAGTGGAAATGACAGACTTTAAATTACTGACTGTAGGACCTGCAATAAAAAGTTGCTCCGATTTGCTTCCACTCAGTTATCTTCTTGGCAGTTTCCATGTCAGGGGGCGGGGACAGGCGTGTTTCCTCTTCCTCCTCCTCCTCTTCTTCCTCCTACATCTGAGCCTGCTCATCACCTCCCATCTCCTGCTCATCACCTCCCATCTCCTGCTCATCACCTCCCATCTCCTGCTCATCACCTCCCATCTCCTGCTCATCACCTCCCATCTCCTGCTCATCACCTCCCATCTCCTGCTCATCACCTCCCATCTCCTGCTCATCACCTCCCATCTCCTGCTCATCACCTCCCATCTCCTGCTCATCACCTCCCATCTCCTGCTCATCACCTCGCTTCTCCTGCTCATCACCTCGCTTCTCCTGCTCATCACCTCGCTTCTCCTGCTCATCACCTCGCTTCTCCTGCTCATCACCTCGCTTCTCCTGCTCATCACCTCGCTTCTCCTGCTCATCACCTCGCTTCTCCTGCTCCTCTCGCTTCTCCTGTTCTTCTCGCTTCTCCTGTTCTTCTCGCTTCTCCTTCTCTTCTTGCTTCTTCTGCTCAGCAATTCCATTTGCCAAATGTTCTTCACTCTTTGTCTGTTTAGATATTAACGCTCTCACAAATTTTAATGTCTACATAAATAAATAGAAAAGGACTCTCATTAAAGACCATATCTACATTGAGAGGCAGTTGACCCAAATCTTAGCCCATGAACCAGCAGTGCCCAGACCATAGCAGAAACATATCCTCAAGCTCTATTAGACCCACTAAACCACACCTGCATCTTTAAAGGGACCAGGAGATTCATATGCATATTGGAGGTCCCAAAGAACAGATCAAAGAAATTAAAAACCTCTAAGTAGACACAAGCACCCACTTGGAATGAGTGATGGAAAATATCAAATGTGTAGATCACTTTAAGGAACAAGGCTCTATTATTGTCAAGCTTTTCAATCCTGTTTACTTGCATCTCATGGAGATTGACTGGATACCCAGAACCCATTTTCAAAGACTTAGTGCTCGGACACAAGGCTCAACTATTTACACCTCCTTAGAACCCCTTGGTTGAGTACATTGTCTCACTGAGGTGGAGAACTTTCGTGCTACAACATTTTCTTCATTTTGACTTCTTGAGATGCTATGGGCTTAGTGACAGAGAAGGCTCACTTTGAGCCAGATTGTTCACCAACTGTTAGGAAGGGATCCCAGAGAGTATCAGAACCAGTTTGCTGCTTACATCAGTATCTCCAATATTAAAGGCTGTGGCATACAGACTTCGCAGGACTTCAGTTAATTCTTTTTCCATACATAGAACAGTCATTAAACAGTCAATGCATCTCTGGTGGCCTAGTTCAGGTCTCTGTTGGAAATGAACAGGTAATCAATTTCCTACGTCAAGGTAATTTCTATGTATGATGAGGACTAGGTTTACGAGTGAGGAGGCTTTCAAACTCTTCATAGCATAGTGGAGTCAGCGAAAAGTCTTAACGACGGACACCTGGTCTACCTGCCGTCATCTTGATTAATTGATATGGACCTCAGGACTGTAAAAAGATCCTGGGCAAATTCAGTTGCTGCATACCAAGGGTACTAAGGGCAAAGAATACAGGTTAATAATTACTCCATTGGCTTTGAAGTTCTACAATGGTTTGATTTTGTTATGGACTTCCTAAATAAAAATGCATCTAAAATAACATTATACCTGAATTTTCTGTAAACTGAAAAAGGATGCTAACCTCTCCAGGGAGAGCTCATGAGAGCCCTGCCTCTAAGCTCTTTCAGAGCATTAGAGCCATCTGAGGAGTTTGTTAAGACACAGCTTCTTGGTCCCACTCACAATCAGATTCCTTGGGCCAGGGTCATGAATTTGCATATCTCACCATCCTCATATGGGGCTGAGGTTGGTGATGAGAGAGCTGTGTGGCTGAGTCATTGAGAAAAGCTAGACAAATTTGTTGTGGCCAAGTTTTAGCCCTGATGATATTGACTTATGTTCAATTACTAAGAACATAAATAAATGCCGGGCAGTGGTCATGTACACCTTTAATCCCAGCACTCTAGGAGGCAGAGGCAGGTGTATCTCTGTGAGTTCAAGCCTAGCCTGGTCTACAAAGTGAGTTCCAGAACAGCCAGGACTGTTACACAGAGAAACCCTGTCTCGAAAAACCAAAAAAGAACATGAATAAAGGGGGCTGGAGAGCTGACTCGGTGCTTAACAGCACTGGTTGCTCTTCCAGAGGACCTGGGTTCAATTCCCAGCACCCATGTGGCAGCTGACACATGTCTGTTACTCCAGTTCCAGGGGATCTGACACCCTCACACCAATGTACATAAAATAAAATTAAATAAATTAAAAAAGAGAAATGTTAAAAAATGAATAAACTAACTAGTAAGCTTAAGTAGCAAGCAGTTATATTTTGGATCTAGTAAAAATCCCTAATAGAAATTATCATAATAGAATTAGTCACCTGAATATCCGGAAGGCAGACTTTATTACCTCTTTTTATGATGTATCTCATGGATTCTTTTGCATGATACCATTTCAATGCAGCCTGGTCCTGAATGTATGCTCCAACACCGACCACTGCCACATCATCCATATAATAACAACTCTAGGATTGAGGTGAGAATTTGGGGGAAGAGATGGAGATAGGAGATGTTAAATTTACAGGTAGGAACCTCATGAAAATAGTTGACTATCTCAGTGGTCATCTAGAAAATGTCTTTGATTGCTCCTAGGTGGCTGGTTTGTCCTTTGAATTTCAGAAGTTTCTGTTTTCCCGACTCAGGCTGCCCCAAAAAGCACCAACCCAGACTAGTCCCTAATCTTTCTACAATGCAGCTTTTCTTTGGATCAGACATGTTAACACACACACTACCAGTTTCATCCATTAACTGTGTAGGTCTCTGACATAAGCCTGGCACAGATTTACTAAAAAGTTAAGAGCAGATTTATCATACTAATCCAAACATTATTAACGGTGAGTATGAAATTGCATTTAGGTATAAAATTGTTTATTCCGCCACCATTGGTTATTGCCCAAATAATTTTGGGAACTCAATTGAAGAACTGTGTTTCTCCTTCTCATAGCCTGTAGTTTGCTATCACAGTTATAAATCAGCAGTCTCATTATTGAACCACGGTTTCACCTAATGTTAGACTGCAAGGTAAGAAGTTAGTAAATGTATCATCACCCAGATCAGAGCAAACCCCCCCTCAGAGTTGCCCAAGAGACCTACTAACCAAGAAATAATAAGCATCACTGAGGTTCATCTGCAGGCAGGCGATTTTCTGTATAAAAGGTAAAGACTCTTCAGGAATGACCTCCTTTTTTGCCCCTTTCCTCTGTGCCATTTTAGCAATAGGAAATTTCAACCGTCAGATGTGTTTCCCACATCACTGGAGAGCCTCTTAAATGCTAAGAGGTGTGGTCACAGCCCACTCCTTGCAATGAGATGAAATCATGACCACCTGAGGCGGCAGCTGCTCATCCACCAGCAAAGATCTTGTGTCTGGGGTGGGGGTTAAAGAAATCAAGTTGAGAGTCCCGGGACCAACGCCACGCTGCTTTCGGCCGTCTTTTGTGCCAAGAGCAAGTCAAAGACCATTCTGGTGAGGCTGGTGAGCCAAGCTGGGACAGATTTCTCGTTCAACCCCGAGAGAAGCCGACTCCGAGAAAAGCTGACTCGGAGTCGGCTTTTGATCCAATCGTGAACAAAAAAGTTCTCTTCGTGGAACAGAAAAAAATACGCTCCCTCTAAGCAATGGATTGAGAGTGAATTGGATTCATAAACGGGAAGATGGAGGTGAGGCCCTGGCTCAGAGACCTGCAGTGTGTACTGACGAAGAGGAACCGCCAGCACGGCCGCTGGTGAGGTGAAGGCCGCTGTGAAGGAACAGTGCCGTGAAAGAGTTCTTCACAGAGACCAGATAGTTCTCTCTCTGTAGTTTTTATAGGCAGTAATAAAAAAATGTCGAAACAGCCAAAAAAAAAAAAAGAAAGCCGGGCGGTGGTGGCGCACGCCTTTAATCCCAGCACTCGGGAGGCAGAGCCAGGCGGATCTCTGTGAGTTCGAGGCCAGCCTGGGCTACCAAGTGAGTTCCAGGAGAGGCGCAAAGCTACACAGAGAAACCCTGTCTCGAAAAACAAAAGACAAAAAAAAAAAAAAAGAAAAGAAAAAGAAATCAAGTTGAACAGAGAAAAATGGATCAGAAGAGGATGTGGGGATTTGTCTTCTAATTCTCTCAATGGTCAGTCTCTCTTCTCATTTTCTGTTTTAAAATTATTGTTAATTAAATTTATTCATTTATTTTACATCCAGACTGCAGTTTCCCCTTCCTCCTCGCTCCCATTCCCTCCTCTCACTCCCTCCCCCTCCTCCCACAATCCACTCCTCCTCTGTTTCTGTTCAGAAAGGGGCAGACCTCCCATGGGTGTCAACAAAGCCTGGCATATCAAGTTGAGGTAGGACTAGCCTCCTCCCTTTGTATTAAGGCTGGGCAAGGCAACCCAGTATGAGGAATAAGTTCCTGGAAGCCAGTCAAAGCATTAGGGACAGGCTCTGCTTGCTAGGAGTCCCACAGGTAGATCAAGCTACACACAACTGTTGTACATATGTAGAGGGCCTAGGTCTGTCCCATGCAGGCTCCCTAGTTATTGGTCCAGACTCTGTGAGCTCCTATGAGCCCAGGTTAGATGTTTCTGTGGGTTCCCTTGTGATGACCTTGACATTACCACCCCACCCCCACCCCCACCCCCGCCACCGGCTCACACAATCCTTCCTCTCTCTCATTTTCTATTTGAGAAGGCAGGTATATTTCCTGAAGAGTAGTGTGAATTATCTTTAATGATGTCATAGCATACTCGAATACATTGGATCTGAGAAGCATGTTGAGAACACGTATCTGTTTATAGGAAAGACCACAACCCCTTCCCTCCTCGTACATAATTGAGCTTACAATGGAATATGGTGGTGTTCTGAAATATCACAATCCTGTTAGCTAGAGGAGTCGTACAGATTTCATTGATAAACTGGCACTTTAAGTCAGCCTTGTAAGCAGAAGGAAGAATAGAAGAAAGGCCTTTTAACTGCAGCTGTACTAGGCACACCCAGCTGCAGCTACCAGATGAGGCTGTGGTTTCCCTATCTCCCAACTGGCATCTTTTTGACTCCTTCCTTCCTCTTTTTTTCCCAAAGGTCTCCTGGTGGCTCCGTATGGACCTATTTCACTGATCTTACGGCTGATAATGGGGTGCTTGGAGGTATGTTCTGAGTCACTGTTGATGAAAGTGTGATGGACATGCAAATAAAGCTTAAACTCCTCCATCTGGGAGACCGTAACTTGGAGCTAACCCCTGTCTGCTTGAAGTGAACAGAAATGACAACTGCCCAGGCAGGTGCTAGACTGCAATCCCAGCTATTCTGGAGGTGAGCAGCAAGAATCTTGAAGTGTGAGACAGTTTTAAAGAAATAGCAATTGCCTCAAAGTCCATCCGCCTCTTGAGGGAGAACGCATGTTAAGGGAAGGAGCCAGACTTTCAAACGTGGGACAGAGTCAAACAAGGTGGTCTTAAAGAAGGAACGGTTACAAAAATGTCTTTTATCGATTGTTTTTGTTGCCTTTGTCCCCAATGGAGTCTGAGATTTTTCCTAGAAAAGGAGAAGTGGTTTAAGACAGAGCCTCTCAAACCACAGCTTGCATAGGAATCATTTGGGACTTTTGTTCAAATGCAAAATTGTGACTGGTGGAGCCTGAGGTGGTGGATTTCCAGCCTGCTGCCAGGTCCTTCCCGTGCAGGGACACACCTTGAGGAGAAAGGTTTCCAGAGCATTCCTGAAAAGCGTTCAGTAAATGTTCTATAGGGCACCTATGACTATAGCTGAAGTTTTTCTATGTCCTGTCCCATCCACAGCTGCTCAGACCCCAAGTAAACACACAGAGGTTTATATTAACTAAAGCTGCTCAGCCATTAGCTCAGGCTAACTATTGACTAGCTCTGACATTTAAACTCAGCCCATTTTTGTTAATCTATATGTTGCCACGTTTTCAATGGCTTTACTTGTGTGCTATTACATGCTGCTCCCTGGATGGCAGGCTGGCATCTCCTGACTCAGCCTTCCCCTTCCCAGAATTCTCCTTGTCTGCTTATCCCGCCTATACTTTCTGCCTGGCTACTGGCCAATCAGCGTTGTATTAAACCAGTATACAAAAGCATTGTTCCACAGCATATGGCACAGTTAGGAATCTTTGAGTAAGATGGGAAAGGGAGGCATTCTCTAGAGACACTGTGCTGGCTTGACATGTCCAAGTTGTCAGATCCTCCATGGAAGCATTCTAGAGAGGGCCTTTTGGAATAGCTGGGCTTTGAAGGTCAGAACAGGCCAAAAATATGGCCCCTGTGCAGATCATCCACCACTGTTTTTAAAAATTTGCTTTCGTTTCATCATATGAGTATTTGTCTGCATATATGAATGTGTACCTGTGTGTGCCTAACCTGTAGAAGTCAGAAGATCATAAAACTTGACTCACAGTGGTTCAGAGCTGCTGTGTAGGTGCTGGGAACAGAACTGAGGTCCTCTGCAAGAGTAGCAAGTGCTCTTAACCACTGGGCCATCTCCAGTCCCCACTGATTTTTGCATAGGTGATACATGATCCCAATTCTTCTTCCTCAAACCTTGTGGTTCTTTTTAGGAGATCAGAATTGTATGAGCAATGGTAACACATTTCTATTATCCAACCTACAAGTTAGCAAATCTGAAATTCATGGATTTGTTTCCTGGAATGGTCTGAGATTTTGGATATTTCTGGGTGGTTTTAAAGATTCTTTCATGTAAACATTGTTATGAAGTACGCGGGCATGAGAAACCCCCACCTGGCCAGGCCAGAGTATCCCACTTTCGCAGGGACCCATGCTGGTATGCGGGGCAGATGCAGCAGCAGGTTGGCAGGTGACCCACTCCATGCAGGCATGGTGGCAGGGTGGCGGGTGGCCCTTCACAACCCATAAGCTACATCTGCTCGGAAATGGTTTACTGTAACAGAGAGATGAAAAAAAGATAGGAAAGGAGGGAAAGAAAGAGAAAAGGGTCAAGGGTCGAGGGGTGCACACCTCGTGGGAGTGGAGGGAGGGAGGGAGAGAGAGAGAGAGAGAGAGAGAGAGAGAGAGAGAGAGAGAGAGAGAGAGAGAGAGAGAGAGAGAGAGAAAGGGGTGGAGTTTTTCCTTAAGAAGAGACTTCTATGTCAGGACTCAGGGTGGCCCCAAGGGTTGGATCAGAATATTAACAAACATTCCATGATTCTATTATTCGATCTGGGCCACAATAGAGAACTGAATGTATATTTAAAAACCAGGTTTTATTCTTTTAATTAGATTTTTGAAGTATTTTGAAGTAGTATTTTGCTGTCTAAAACCACACACACACACACACACACACACACACACACACACACACACACACACACGAATGAATGGAAACATATCACATCTTCAGTAATTATTGTACACATACGGCAGATTTACAGTAATTTTTCTTTTATTTTCCAAATCTTGCACTTAAAACTTTTATTGCATTTATTCATTTGTGGTGTGTGTGTGTGTGTGTGTGGATGGACTTACAGGTACATACCATGAATATCAGAGGACAACTTATACAAGTCAGTTCTTTCCTCTACTCTGTGGGTCCCAGGGCTCAAATTCACATCCTCAGGCTTGGCAGTAGGCGGCTTTGCCATTCCCATAACCCTTTCAAATTTTTATAATTGTATTTTAAATTTCCACAGTCTTCCTGCCTCCCATCTCAGGTTAGTGCTGGGACTATGGATGCTTGTGCTACTGTGTGTGTAATGGGGTTGAGAACTTGGCATGTCAGGATGCCAAGTTGATGGTCCATAGGCCATCTCCCCAGCTTTACTTTTTTTTTGTTGTTGTTGTTCATGAACACATAGTTATGGGACATGTGTGATATTTTGACACAGATATGCAGTGAAACATGATTAGATTGTGGACAATTTGACTATAATATGTCACAAAAAGAATCTTCTTTGATTGACTCTGACTTGGATCCTTTGAATTTTCTAAACCTGGATGTCTGGATCTTCCCCAAGACTGGGAAAGGGTAGAATATTCTTCTAGTAGGTTCTGTGTCTATTCTTCCCTTACTCTGAATTTCACTGGGTTCTCAAAGGTCATGTAGATATCCTTCATTTTCCTTATTCATTTTTGTTTCTGCTCCCCCACCCCTTTCTTCCTTTGTTATTTGTGTGGCTGAATGACTAGTAAAGACCTATCTTGAGGCCCAGAAATTAATTTTTCCACTTGACTCAGTCTGTTTTTGCAGTTCTCATTTTTGTGT